AGACCGTCCGACCCTTTAACGACTCACAAAGCTCTTTAGATCTAAAATTGTTCTAAAATTTTCATACTTAACTCACCTGTTGTGTAATATATATATATATATATATAAACATTGTTTCATCCATCCATTTACCAAGTTTTTCTTAATAACTAAGTAAACTAATGATTATGTTATTATATTATAATTTTACTAATAATCATCTTTGTAACACAATTTTCAAATTTCGCTGAAAGATGGAATAAGTTATTCCGAAACGTTCGAACCTTGTAAATAAAATGTTTTATCAACCGTCTTCATCTTCAATATTAAACTTCGGTTTCCCCATCATGTAGCTAACTATATAATAAACACCTCAATGAAATATAATAAATATGATAATCCACAAATTACTGATTTATGTTTTTCTCAGTGGCATGAAGAAACCACGATTTAATGAAGTTATCCATCTTTCAGTGTGTTTTACGATACACGTGTGAGTAAATACGGATAAGAAGTGACCAAAACCCAGCTGTTGGAATCTCAATTCAATGGTTAGTCCTTGTCACGGGTACAGCAAACACTTGTTATTAATGTTTACAAACAGCACAATGGTAATAACAACGATCTACAATATGAGGCTTTAAACCTTCTTTTACTAATATCACATGTTTGTCGTCACTGACACACGATATAAAACATCGTGGTATATTACTGGTTGTGACAAACCTAACATGCCATGTTATAAAACGTATTATATTACTCGTTGTGATAAACCTAACATGCCATGTTATAAAACTATTATATTACTCGTTGTGACAAACCTAACATGCCATGTCATAAAACTATTATATTACTCGTTGTGATAAACCTAACATGCCATGTTATAAAACTATTATATTACTCGTTGTGACAAACCTAACATGCCATGTCATAAAACTATTATATTACTGGTTGTGACAAACCTAACATGACATGTTATAAAACGTATTGTTACGTCTCCGTTTGTCAATTGATTTTTCCGTAACTTCGTTCCTACGAAACTTTAACGACACAAGTCCTTACTTAATAAAGCTGGTTTATTCTTTCCGAATATAACTTTA